GGGTTGCGGGCCTTGTCGCGGGACGACGACAACAAACAAAAAGCAACAACAACAACCAACAACAACAAACAACAGCAACGAGGACAACAACATCAACGGCACCAGCGGCAACAGCAACAACAGCAATCATTTGGAGTCTGTTCGTTATTCATTGCCCGCGTGTCTTTCATATTATACACCCGACCCTCGATACCCGCCCACTGCGTCTTCGATTGAGCTTTTTTTGGTGGGAATATCTGCCTCGTCGGCCACTCATTGAAATTCGAGGAATCTCGGGCGAGAGCGCTGATCCTGAGTTAAGCGGCCTCTCTAGCCAGGGCCTCGGATTACATCGAGAGGAAGTGTCGAACAGGAGAACTTGCCATTGTGGCTGGGCATCCACCAACTTGATTGAATTTCGCAGAAGTCTCCAGCGACAGCGCTGTTTCTGAGTTCGGGGGCCTGTCTGGCCACGGCCTCTCGAAGGAAATCGTCAGGACGTATCGAGCAGGAGCCCTTTGTCGTCGAAGTAGGGCCTCCACCAGCTTGACTAGACTACGCGAGCGTCTCGAGTGAGAGCGCCGTTCTCGAGTTCGGGGGCCTCCCTGGCCGGGACTCTCGGACTACATCTTGAGAAGTATCGAGCGGGAACCTTTGTCGCCGTGTTTGGGCCTCCACCAACTTGCCAGAATTACGAGAATTTCTCGAACAAGAGAGAGCCGCTTGTGCGTTCGGGGGCCTCTCTGGCCAGGGGCTCTCGGAGTAAATCGTGAGGTGGTATCGAGCGGGAGCGTTTGTCGTCGTGGCTGGGCCTCCGCCAACTTGATTGAATTGCGAGGGATTCTCAAGCGAGAGCGCCGTTCCTCAGCTCGAGGGCCTCTCTGGCCAGGATGTCTCGGGGAATGGTGGAAGGGAGTATTGAGCGGGAGCAGTTGTCGTCGTGGTTGGGCCTCAAACAACTTGACCGAATTGCGAGGATGTCTTAAGCAGGAGCGCCGTTCCTGAGTTCGGGGTCCTCTCTGGCCCGTTTGTCTCGGGGTAGAATGTGATGAAGTATCGACCAGAAGCCGTGGTCGTTGTAGCTGTGCTGCAACAGCATACACTCACAATCAAGCCAACGCTCGGGCGAGAACCTCGTTTTCAGAGAAGATGCAGCCCGCGTCGAGGCGAGAGCGCGCGGAACCATTTTTGGAGATCAAGAACCGTTGTTCTTTAGTAATGAAGATTCAACAACAACAACAACAACAACACCAACAATCAATTCAATCTTGTTTTTTTTATTATCTGCTCGCGTGCGATTCAATAAGTATATCCCAAGCCATCGATACCCGCCCTCTTCGTCGTCGATCGTACCCCCTGTTTCTTACCTGCAACGTGTAATTCGTGCTGCCCTTAAGGCAGGGGGAGAAAGGACGGATGGAAGGAAGGAACAAGGGGAAGGGAGGAGGATGGAGCACGAGAGCGGGTAGCAGGAGGGGGTCTAGAAGCAGAAAACACATGGCAGAGCCAGACAGGCAGATCGGGAGGGCAGAACCTAACAGGCGGCCAGGTCGTGCAGGCGGGTTGCTGAAGCGTGCGCCTTGCATGTGTCGTGGGAAAATTTCGTGCGACACTGCGATTCCCCCCAAAAGCGTCAGGACAACCACGGCGAGAGCGCGATTCTTGAGTGTCGAGGGCCCGGCCCTTGAATACATTGCGAGGACGTCCCACGCGAGATTGCGAGTCCTTCGTGCACAGGAGGAGTTTTCCGCGCGAGAGCGCGGTTTGGGAATACATCTGTGAGGAAGTATCGGGCGGGAGCCGTTGTTGTATTTCGGGGGCCAGGGGTCTAGTTTGGTGACCTCCCGCTTTCCCCGACAAAAGACAGGGTGCGGCCCCGGGAAGGGAACTCCAGTGGAAAAAAACATACATGTGCCCAGGGTGGTCAACAATAATAATTCTCCCGTAGTGAGATTTCAACAACAGCAACAGCAACATCAACGACGACGACAACGACAACAACAACAGCGACAAACAACACACAACAAACAAACAATAAACAACAAACAACACACAACATCATCAACAACAACAGCAACAGCAACAGCTACAGCAACAGTAATCCGCACCGCGGGACCTCATTTTTGCAACGCGCCCAGGGACAGTGAATGACCGTTCGGCCCCCTCACTCTGATGTGGGGAATCCTGTGTTTATCATCTGTTCGTGTGTGTCCCTGGGCCCCCTTCAGGACGAGGTCCAGGTCGAGGTCGACGGGATCTGGGACAATATGGGAAGTGGGAGGGAAGCCCAACTGCGAGAAGATCTGGAAAAACCCGCGGGGAATCCTGGGATCCGTGTGCCTTGTTTCTCCGTGGGCGTCCCTGGGCCCCTTCAGGTCGCCTCCTTGGAAGAACAGACCTGGGCTGTTTTTGGGGGCGCCCGGCTCAGACAGGCGGCGCCCCCCTCGCAGCTCGCACTGGCGTCGCACCAGGCAGAGGTCCTGGAGGGAGCCAGACCCCGCCCCCTCCCCCCCCCCACTCCGCCCCGTGTTGCAACCACGAGTGGGAGAACGCTCGCCAGGAGTCGCGGTCCACAGGCCGCCGCCGCCCTCGCCCGCCGCGCCCGCCCGGCAGGCGCGGCCCCGGAGCCGCGCGCCGCCGCGCCGCCCGCCGCGCCCGCCGCGCCCGCCGCGCCGCCCCCGGTTGCGGGCGCGCCGCCCGCCGGGCCCGCGCGGGGGGAGGCCCAGAGCCGCTACCAGGCGGGGGCGGCGAGAGGGGCGCGTCGCCCAGGCCTCCTACGTGCAGGGCGGGCGTGTCCACAACTAGACAGGCGGATGTTGGAGGGAACATGCCAAATCAGTCAGCAACATCATATTCAAAGATGGTCAACAAGTTGTCGAAGCATCCTCCCAGGAATATTTCTAAAACGATGTTTTTTTTTATATTCATGTAGAGGGACACGCCCGACTTAGTCCTAGATTGGGTCGGAGGATCGCGCCGCATCGCCGGTGCATTTCCGATGCGGCTCGGTGTGGAGCCCGATGTGCTTCACGTCGACGTAGCCGATGCATCGCCCACGTCGACGATGCATCGCCAGTGCATCGCAGATGCATGGCCGATGCATCGCTGATGCATCGCCGATGCATCGCCTGTGCATCGCCTGTGTATTGGCAGTCGGGTGCGATCTTTCGACCCCATCTATTCAGACCCCATCTAGGAGGCCCCTAACAATGGAGACCGAGGCCAAGAAACAGCCTGCTTGCCTTCAGGGTGCCCCAGGTTCTCTTGGCTTTCGGTGGTTTTGCTATGGGAAGCGTGACCTTCCCACACCAAAAATCCAGGGACGTCCTGGGGTTCAGCGTCGGGTTTCTTGTGGAAGGCTTCTTGCGGCCCAGCTCCCACTGCAGGGCGGCGGGAGGGGCGGTCCGCCCAGGGGCAACCACTCGACGCAGGCAGAGCGCCATCAGCACAAACTCTTGGCGCTCCGCGCGGGCAGTCTTGGCTCCGCGCGGGGGCCCCCCCAGCGGCGCCTCCAGCGCCGCCCCTGGCGCGGAGGGGGTCCAGCGCCGGAGCGCCAGGGCCCCTCCAGGCGGCGCCTCCGGCGCGGCCCCTGGCGCGCTCCGCGCGCCAGGGAGGGGGGGCCCCAGCGCCGGAGCGCCAAGAGTGATTGTTCTCTGGAGGGGCAGGTTTGTCCACCACCACGACCCTACGTAGGGCGGGGGGGGGAGAAGTGAGGATGAGGAGCTCCTCCCCCTCCTCCTCCTCCTCCCCCTCCTCCTCCTCCTCCTCCTCCCCTCCTCCTCCTCCTCCTCCTCCTCCTCCTCCTCCTCCTCCTCCTCCTCCTCCTCCTCCTCCTCCTCCTCCTCCTCCTCCTCCTCCTCCTCCTCCTCCTCCTCCCTCCCTTACCTATGGCAGTGGTGGTGGACCATGGGCCCATCGTTCCTGCCTTTTGTTTCTGCTTCCAGGGCCTCCGGGGGGGCACGGGCACCGTGGAGGGGGTGCGGGCGGGGCCAGGGCGAGGCACGGGTCCGCGGAGGGCCCCCCCCTTGCCCCGGCAGATGGGGGCCCATCGGCCCGGCACCGTGTCCCTGCGCATGGCTCGGGGGCTCGAGGGGGGGGGCGGCAAAGGATGGGGGGCGAGGACCAGGGGGGGGGATCTCATGGCGGGGGCCAGGATATCTCCGCAGATCTCGTGGCGCAGCTGCTTGTTTCATTCTGTGCCTGGCCCCCCGCTGGGCCGCGCACATGCCGCCGGTCATGATTTGCACCCCCCCCTCTTGGACAGCCCCCTCTTGGCTGCCCCCGATCAAGAGACGGGGGTCAACGCAAACGGGGGTCAGCCAGAGCGCTCGATCTTGCAGGATCCTGCAGGGTCGGGGTCGCACCGACCCGGGTTTGGGTGCAGGATCTTGCAGGATTCTGAATGAATTGATTGACCCGGGTCTGGATTTACCCCAGGTCAGAAGATCCCCGAGTGGAGGGAACTTTTCGCGCGGCAGGTGCCTTCACCCCTCTCGAAGAAGAAAACGCGGCGTAAACATACACCGGGTCCGCGCTGGGCCCCCCTGGCGGCGCCTCCAGCGCCGCCCCTGGCGCGCTCCGCGCGCCAGGAAGGGGGTCCAGCCTAGATCCAAGAAATCCGCGCGGAGCGCCATAAGTTTATGTCTATGCCGTTGTTGTTTTCCCATTGGGCTCCTCCGATCGCCCAGCGCGATGCCATAGTAGCGTTTTGTGCGCTTGTGTTTGCTCCCCCCCCGCGGACTTCGAAAAGCCGCGCACCAGAGGTCACTCTTACGCAGGGTCACTCTGGCGTGTAGCCGACATTGCACATTCGCCTGGGAGCCTCGCCGAAGGGCATGAACCATGGGCGCCCTCAGATGCATGTAGTACTCTGCCCTTGGCTACTCGCCCCCATCGTCGCCCCCGAACCAGACGGCGCGCAAGAAGCACCAGAGGGCCGTGAAGAAGGGGCTGAAGCGCCAGGCCCGCCACTCATAGGAGGGAGGAAGGTACCTCCCCTTCCCCCTCCTTCCCTATCCTCCTCGCGCTCTCCTCCCCCTCTCCCTGCTGCACCTCATCCTCTGCTTCTGGCTTCCTCCTACTCCTCTTCCTCCCACCTCCATCTGCTTCAGCTCGTCCTACTACCCCCACTCCTCTCCCCCGTCCCGAGACTCCCTGCTGCACCTCTTCCCTCCCCCCCCCGGCTCCCTCCCCTCCTCTCCCTCCTACTTCACCCTTCCTTCCCAGGCCCCCTACGTCGTCTGTTCTTGTCGCACCGTGGACCGTTCGAAGTCCTCGCATGCATTCTCGGAGCCGGCTTTTTTTCATCGAGAGCCGTGCTCTCACGGCCCCGCGGCATGGAGTGGGAGAGGGCCCCCAGAGGCCGACGGTGGCCGAGAACTGCCCGTCGGCACGTGCTCGCGACGCGAGGTCCCCCTCTTCCTTGGCATCGCTCGGGCGTGTGCAATTGTTCCCCAGCGAGAGCCATCGAAGCGCATCCTGGAGCACGGAGCGGAGAGAAACACACGCGCGGGACCGACACGTGCGCGGTTAGTGGACGTCCGAGCGACGGCAAGGCCTCCCCTCCCGCTCCTCCCCAGCCCCCTTGTCTTAAGTCGGGTATGTCCCTCTACAGGGGGAATATTCAAACTAGCCATTCAACACTAATCTGGGGACGACTTGTTTCGCCCATACACATATTAACATACACATATCATGTGTTGGTCATTTTTGATGGTTCGTCCAAACTCCTCCTGTAGGAGTGCCCGCCCGACCTATCCCTTGCCTCTCCCATCGAGTCCCCGCGATCTCTCCCGCGATGCAGTCGCGGGGAAGTGCAGCCGTGCCGTGGGCAGGGTCTTTTGGAGGGCCCGAAACGGGAGGAGAAGCGCCCGCACACCCTTCTCCTCGAGCCTCGATTGACATCGTATTCGTATTCTTATTTTGCCGATCGGCGCGGGCCCTCGCACCACCCCCCAGGGAGTAGATTTTGGCTGTTCTTGGCTCCCGTTTCAAGCCGGTGGGGTCTCCCCCATAGGACGCACTGCTGCAGACAGTCGCATTAAGCAGAGGTCCAGAGCTAGGACCCCCCCTTTCCGAGCAATGCCGAAACGCCGAATAACAAAAAAAACGTTCACATTCTTCAGCTTTCCCTCAGGAGTCTGCCCCTATACATGCGTTGAGGTGCGTTCTGGTTATACTTTTGGGGGTGGGAGCGCCTCCTGGACGGAAGGGTGATGGGAGCCCCTGGGGATGCGTTAATTCCATTCGGTTTGGAGGAGTTTGTCTGGAGTTCGTCGGATGTGGTCGCCATCTGTACGGCATCTGTGTGACATGCGCGCGGCATCTGGAAACATGTTGGACGAAGGGGTGAAGCGTGTTGATCGAAAGCTGGGCGAAGTCTGGTCGAACTTGCGTTTGTGATCGGGTCGCCGAGGCCTGCAGGGGCTCCCATGCATACTGGCCCAAGAGAAGGAAGAGAGAGGACAGGGCGGAGGAAGAGAAGGAGCAGGAGGAGGAGGAAGAGGAGATGAGAGGAAAGGGAGGAGGAGGAGGAGGAGGAGGAGGAGGAGGCGGAGGAGGAGAAGAGATGAGAGGAAGGGAGGAGGAGGAGGAGGAGGAGGAGGAGGAGGGGAGAGGAGAGGAGGAGGGGAGGAGGAGGAGGGGGAGGAGGAGGGGGAGGGGGAGGGGGAGGAGGAGGAGGGCCGTCTGCGGGAACTCCACCCCCCGCGCTCGCCCCTGGGCGCCGTGCCTGGCCGCGCGCGCGCCCCTGGGGCCTCCGGCCTCGGCGTGCCAGGCGCGGTCGGCGGCGCGCGCGCGCCACGAAGGGGGCCACCCGCGATGGCAGAGTCATCCTTCTGTCGGGCACGTCCTTCTGCTCGGGTGCAGCTCCTCGGGCATGTCCGTCCTTCAGTCGGGCATGTCCGTCCTTCTGTCGGGCAGGACCGTCCGCTCGGGCGCAAACTCCTGGGAGGCCGAGCTCTGTTTGTGCCCTGGTCCGAAACCGAGCTCAATCCGGCTTCATCCCGCCCAATCCTGCTGAATCCCGCTTCCTCCGGCTTATTAATCCGAGGCCCACTCCGGCGTAACAGCCCCCCAATGGGTCTTAATCCTTTTTTTCATCTTTCCGACGAAAACCTCCCAGTAGTTGCCCCCTAACTTCTACAGGAGGAATATTCAAATTACAGCAGGGGAAAGACCCAATCGGTGGATGGTTTTCCCTGAGGAATGTCGACCAAGAACCCGAGAGCCCGGGGACCCAGGACCCACCAAAATGTGCCTGGAACCGATAACGAAGAATCCGGAACCCCGGAACCGGGAACTTGGGAACCCAGCCTATTACCAAAATCGGCGGCGAACTTTCTCCAAATCTTTCAAATTTAGCTAGGACCACTTCAGTTCAAGCACTGTTTGGAGAATATTCAAACATAGTAAAAAAATAGTTTTGGGGTCGATTCTTGTATTGATCGATTGTTTCTGAGCGGTTTCTGGATATTTTTGATTTGTCGTTGAAAATCCGCCTGTAGGGGGGACATGCCCGACCTAAGATCATCCACCAGGTGGGCACCTTCAACATTACCTGCGGGGTACGAAAATTACCCACCGTGGTGGAGACCTATCAGCAAGCATGCCGATCACCGCACACGCATAGAGGAGCGCGGGCACGAACAGACGCGGCCCCAAAAACGAGCGGGGTACAACGTCCGACAAGGGATACAAACTCGATCCCGCGACATCAGTATCATTGCCACGGCCGCCCTCGCAAGGGAGTCCAGGTCCTATCTGCGTAACAAGGCAGCCCAAGTACGAGAACGAGCTGCGTAACAAGCAGCCAAAGTGCAATGACAAACTCCATAACAGGCAGCCCGAGGAACAAAACCACCACCAGTGCGTCGCCAAGTACGCTGCCAAGATCGACGCCAGGCGTTTTGATCAGCAGATGCAGTACATCGTCGTCGGGGCCCTTTGCGGCAGCAGCACCAGCAGCGGCAGCAGTAGCAGCAGTAGCGGCAGCAGCAGTTGAGCTACTGTGAGTACGGCGACCAGCGTTGAAACCTGCACGGCGACAAATGCTGCGACCAGAGCGGCGACGCCACCCAATACGGGGCCCGTGCGACCAACAGGGATACGTCGGCCCCCAGGGCGTCTCCGCCCCAGGCGAGGACGGACGAGTCTGGCTACGAATGGTCCCGCATCCCTCAGATTCCGGGATGGATCTCCAGACGGAGTCGCTGCTATCAGAAGAGCAATTATCGAGTGGCCTTTTGTTCATCCCGCCACCGTGCCTAGGCTGTGGACATGAAGCCTATTGGATTGTCGTTGGGATATCGTGGGAAGCCTCCCCGGGGCCTATTGGAAGCGTTCTTGATGCCTTTGGGGGTCGTGTGGGGGCCTCTTGGGGCTTACGTTGGGTCTCTCGGGGCCTCTTCGGGCCTATTGGGGCCTCTTGGGTGCCTTTCGGGGCCTCGTCGGGGCCTGTAGGGGCCTCCTGGGGGTTCTTGTAGCGGAAGGCTGGGATTTGTTACTTCTTCGGCCCCTTTTGGGGCTGTATATTGGCGCCCTCTTTGACCGTTTTGGGTGCTTGTTTGGCCGTCCTGGGCGCTCCTTGAACGGCTTGGGATACTTTTGGGGGCCATTTTGGCCGTCTTAGGGTGGTTTGGAGGGCCTCATGGCCGTCTGGGAGCGTCGGAAAGCAGAACAGGCGAGAGCACCAAAACCTTTCAACGCCGTGAAGAAAATAGTGTTTGCCTCTTGGGGCCTTTATCGGAGGCCTCCTGGAGGCCACTTGGGGCGTCTTGGAGACCTTTTGGGCTGTCTTGGGGCGATTTGCAAGCGTTTCGGGGCCATCTTGGGCCTCTTGGGGCCCTCTTGCCCGCCCCGTCCTCAGGCCCTCTCGGGCCTCGAAAAGTCGTAGCACGGTACCGCGCCCGGAATCCGCATGGGCACGCGGGGAGCCCCAAGAGATTTGAGAATTCTTGACGCCTCGCGTATGCCCACCAGCCCATCCAGCGAGACACGCGTAGTCAAACAGCGAGGGAGTCCGTCTTGGACGGGGTGGGGTGTTGGGGCAGTCTCCAGGCCCGCGTGGGTGGGGAGGCAAGAGGAGGAGAAGGAAGAGGAGAAGGAGGAGAAGGAGGAGTAGGACGAGGAGGGGGGAGGAGGCAAGAGGAGCAAGACGAGGATGAGGAGGACGAGGACTAAGAGAGTGAGGAGGAAGAGAAAGAAGGGGAGGAGGAGGAGGAGGAGGAGGAGCAGGATGAGGAGGAGGACGAGGAAGAGGATGATGATGATGATGATGATGATGATGATGATGATGATGATGATGATGATGATGATGATGATGATGATGATGATGATGATGATGAGGAGGAGGAGGAGGAGGAGGAGGAGGAGGAGGAGGAGGAGAGGAGAAGAACGGGAGGGGGAGGAGGAGGAGGGAGGAGGAGGAGAGGAAGAGGAGGAGAGAGGAGGAGGACGAGAAATAAGAGAACAAGGAGCAAGATACTTAGGGGGAGACGGAGGAGGGGGAGGAGGAGGAGGGGGAGGAGGAGGAGGAGGAGGAGGAGGAGGAGGAACATGACCAGGACGAGGACGAAGGATATGGGCGAGAACGGGAGGACGAGGAGGATGAGGATGAGGATGAGGAGGAGGAGGAGGAGGAGGAGGAGGAGGAGGAGTTGGAGGAGGAGAAGGAGGAGGAGAAACAAGAGGATGAGGACGAGGAGAATAAGGACGAGGACGTCGAAGAGGATGAGGATCAGAAGACGGCATCATGCGTGCCTCGGGTGAGTTTCTAGGGCCTATCGGGGGGCCGCTCAGGGGGCCTTGTGGGTGCTTTTCGGGTGCCTCGTGGAGGCCTCTTGGGGCCTCTTGGGGCGCTGTTGGGGCTGCTGGGGTCGTGATGATCCCGCAGGGGGCTATGGTGAATGGGCAGGCTCTCCATCCGTCCCACATGTTAGGGTACAGTCGGACATGGGGCACCA